CCTTCAGTAGCACTGTATTTAGTACTAGCAAGAAAAGCTGGACTGAAAAAAACTGCTTTCGGGCAGATAAACAAATGAAAAAAAGAAAACCCCACAAAGATGTAAGGAAACTAATACCTGGGAAAAAAATGTAAATATTTTTTCTGTAGTCATGAAGATTTGTTAAGTCTGCTTAAGGGCTAAATTAGGAAGTATGCTGTACAACTGCAGTGGGAGTATCAACACAAAGTACCAGCATAATCAAAGACTACATATACACCAGCACTACCCAGTACAGGAGTGGCTACAGAGTAAAACAATTGCTGCAGAGGCTCTAACATCCACACTGTGTGAGTTCCAGGGTGTTTGTTTTGGTCTGGCTTCTGACTGGCCCCATGGAACAAAAGCCTGCTGGCAGCAGGAGAAAAACTCCTCCCATAATTTCATCCAGAAGGAGCCTAGTTCACATTTCCTAGTAAACAGTACTTGGAAATATGAATTGAAGAATATAAAAGGCTGTTTAAGGACACCTCGTTTGGCAGTGAATTCTTGATCAGAATTAAAATATTATTGCAATACACATGCTAGTACTAAAAAAGCATTTTTGTTTAAGCATTGGTCTCTTGCAAGGAAGCTTAAAGGTTTTTATTTTCTGGTTAACAAAATAAATCTAGTAAGAAAGGCACAATGATTAGAAGTTCATGCATATAAAATCTCCCAGTTTTAGAAAAAACCTACAATTAACACTTATAATTAACACAAAAAACTGGAGATACCTGATTAGTGGGAGGGCAGCTGCTGGAACAACGAATGGGAGGCAAGTTATCTTGCCTTTCATTCAGTATGTCTGTTCTCAGGAGCTGTGATTTCCTATCATCTTCATTCATTTCTGTCAGCCAGTTCTGAAAATAAATATATATTTTTACCTTAAGGCAGAAGAGCAATTATCCTTAAAAAGCACTGTTCTTAATGGGTAAAACCAATTAAGACAAAGAGCAATAGTGGTTTTTTGAATAAAAAGTAATCTACAAAAAAAATGGACAGTTAACATTCAGTGACATTAAGCAAGAAAATAAATTTTACAACAATCCTTTGATCATTTCCTCTTGTAATCAAATAATTACATTCTACTTAGGCACAAGAAGATTGATACATCCCAGTGATTATATTATGGACCATTATAAATTAGATCCTGTACCATCAGTTCACTATTAATTGCTTGCCATTCTCCAGCTGTGAAATCAGAAGCTGTGGCTGGAGGCTTATCTTTTCTCAGAACTCTGCTCCTTGGATCCAGATGCTCAATTCGCTTTTCACAAACCAACGTAAGTTCCGGGTAACACCCCTCCTCACCAGACCTTTAAAATGCAAAGATATAAATGTTAACAAAAAAGAACTGCACTACATCCTCCATGTGTAGTCCATACAGTAGTAGTCCATGCAGAGGACTATTCTCCTGTTACAACCCAATTTTACTATCATCTAATAAACTTCTTATTAGCAAATTCCAGTTAACCTTCAATCATTTCCCAATGCCCACATGCACAGTTCAAAAGTTATCATCATAGTGCTCATAAAAAAGAAATTTGTGTCATTTAAAGCAGAAGTTCCACAGATGTGGCATCTGAAATTGCAAGTCATGCAACATTGATCATGAGAGAACAAAACAGAGTGGCAGCATTTAAAAAAAAAACCTAGCATTAAGCTACTGAAACTTTTGGGTGGTTAAAAAAGGACTTTGATTTCCAGTGTTATCATTGGGACACTTTTAGCATGATTACTTTAACTTTGTACTTTAATTTTAAACTACAAAGTCACAGACAAGTTCAGACAAATAGAGAAAGGTTCCCTCCAATTTTGCAGAACACGAATATAATTATTAATGAAGATTAAAAAAAAATTACCTTAATACCCTGAGAATCTTTTCCAGGTGCTTAACATCTGTGCATTTTTCAATGAATTTGTAGTCCAGATGACTAATAGGTATTTGATATGTTTTAGTGGTTCCTTCACCCAAAAAATATGGTACTGACTCATCACCCATAACTAAGTATTAAAAGAAAAAAAAAATTCTGTAAGCTTCTAGTTACATTTTGAAGTAATGCAAATTTAAGGAATAAAATTGCTCACACTCCACTCTCTCATGCAAGCACATCTGCAAAAGAAAAAAAATATCAGATTAGAAGGCCTCATCACATTAACTGTCCCTGACAAGAGGCTTACAGACAGAAGTATGAGACATGCTTTATAAGAGTATGCAACTCTACTGCAAGTCAGAACAACTCAGAAAGACCACTTAAAGAAAAATTGCCAATTTTTGCCTATCACATTCTCGTTTTATTTAACACATATCTGTTTTAAGCACAAAGGAGAAGATAGTGAAGGACACTCCCTTTGTCAGAGAGAAGACATTAGCCAGTGCAGTGTATCTAAAGGAAGGAAAATCTTTGGCTTCTCTGTAGACAAAATTAATTCAATTTTCTTTCCTCACTGACTACATTTTCTGTGTCTCCGATTGTATTACAGCACTAATCTCTATCTTTTCTGGTAAGTATGTAAATGAAGAAATGAGGGATTCAAATGAGACATTTCTGTCTCCCTCTACCTTTGATCTGCTCATCTGCATCTTTTTCTGTTTTAACCACATGCTCTACGAAGCTGAAATTCTATTTCCCCCCCCTTTTATATAGTGCACAAAGCAATCAGTTAATTTTTAAGAAATACTATAAGGGCAACTAGCTAGTATGTGAAAACAACTATCTGTAGTTATAAGCCAAATTAAAATAATTGTGTTCTAATGTCTTGCAAAATTACACACATTAATTTGTAGTTACACAAAAATGTTTACAATACAGCAGTACTTAAATAATAACTGGTCATAATTAGGTGTTGCACAGACATTCTGCCCCAAGACTTTACGGTCTCAGTACTCGGAAAGGAAGAAGACGCATGGAAAGAAGGATAAATGCAGAAAATAATTAAAGAAGAACAGAAGAATTAAAAGCTCATCCCCACCGGCGGTTTCCCCCGTTTATTCCCGTGGCCGGGAGGGACCAGGACTCCGCGGCTGCTCGGGGGCAGAGCCCAGCTCCGAGAGAGCTTCCGCAGGCATCCCCCGGGCCGGAGCAGCGATCCACCCCCCGGCCGGCACCAGGCTGCCCTGCGGCACCGCCGCAGCGCGGCCGGCCCGTAGCGACTGTTGCTATGTACGGCACGGCGGCAGGGACACGGCGCTGCCCGCCCCAGGGCTGCCCTGCCGAGGCTCCCGCAGAGCCCCGCCGGGCTCCAGCGGCGACAGCGGCCTCGCCTCTCGCTCCTCGGCACCCACCTGCCCGGCGCCGCGCCGTCCCGGGGCACGGACGCCGCCCTGCCCACAGCGCCGCCGAGCCCCGCGCCTCGCTCAGGCCGCGCAGGCGCCGCCGCGGCCGGGGCGGGGATCGGGCTGAGGGGAGCGCCTGCCGAGGGCGGGCAGGAGCACCGCGCCCGGGGCGCGGCTCTGGAAGGCGGCGCCCTCGTGTTTCAGCGTCGCGTTTCACTCGGCGGAGAGCGAGCGGTCACCCTGCCGACCGCGGTGGCGCCAGGCGCCCGCAGCAGTGCTGCCGGTCAGCTCTGCACTGCCCCAGCGCTGCTCTCCAAAGCAGGTCCGCGCCCCTTCCCCAGGGCAGCGGGGCTCTTGGCCGCCTCTGCCCGCCCGCAGCCGGGCCAGGCCGCCTCCGCCGGCCGGCCAGCTTCGGCAGCGCTGCTGTGCCCGCTCCTCCTCTCCTTTGAGCAGCCGAGTCAGTGCCGAGCCCTTCGCTCTGCTATGCAGGCGCTGGGTACCCAAAAAATCTTCGTAACACAGATCTAATTCTTTACTTGTGTCATTTTTTCTCAAACTTGAGTCAAACTAATCAGTGGTCAAGTTTAGATATTAGATATTAGAGTGACCACTGAAAGCACAGACATGCCTCTGAGAACACAGAGGGTTTAAAGCAAAAATTCCCAGGAGAAACTTTCTCTTTAGTTCCAGCCAGTGTAAAGAACACGCTCTGTCTCCGCTGCCCAGCCACAGGCTGGGTAGGGGAGGGGAAGCCATGAAGCCCGAGAGAGGTATAGGTCAGGGTGTAAAAAGACTAAAACAAAGTCAGCCCCCACAAAATAAAAAAGTAAAACAAATCTGAGATGTCTGTATTCCCCTCCCCCTCCCAGAAAAAGAAATAATGAAAAAGACAGAGACTGGGTTCTGTACCAGCAATACACCAGCAGAAGAAAAAGAGGGGTACCCAGCCATAAGAGTTAATAGTTCTGAGCAGAAATTTCAGCCGCCCTAAGAGTCTAAAACTTTTAACCCCTTCTTAAATAATACTCCTTAATCTAAAAAAGAAGAGATAGTCTAAGACTGAAATGTTAAAAAAAAATGAAGAATCCTAAGTAAGAAGAGATAATAGAGTAGCTTTTAGCTAGACTTTTCTTGTATAACCATAGACTAAACCAATTTCTCCTACAACAAAAATTGCATTTTTAAAGAAAATACAATAGTAAACCAAAAAATCTGCTTCAGCGACTACCAGCACAATAAAGTAAACAATAAAAAGTTAAAAGAGTGTAGGATACCCTCTGTCTTCAAAAAGAAGAAAATCTCTGTTCTGAAAACCCTCAGTCCCAAGAAAAAAAGAAAATAAGGGGGACTGGATTCCCAAAATAAGAAACTGAACTGTTGTTCTTTTAGTCCTTAACTAAGCATCCTTTAAAAAGCCCTATGAGCAGTCTGTCCATACACAGTAGTGAGAGCACTGTAACATAAAAAAAGAGAGTCACAATAAAAAATTTTTCTCCGGGCAGTTGCCATGTGTGACATGGAAACACAAAAGAGTTACAATTGTGTTTCCTAAAAGTCTATAGTACAAAAAAACCTCCTCCCTTAATGAACTAAAAATTAATTATATGAAGAGTAGTAATGTAATCAAGAATCCAGAGTTTTGTCTCACTGTAGTTTATTAAAAATTAACTGAGGAAAAAAAGAGTGTTTTAGAGAGTTTTCATTCTGATTTCTCTGTGTCTTTTATTAGTAATAATAGTAGCTTAACAAAGTTTTTCCCTTTATTTTTAAACTTAGACCCGCTCTACTCTGTCGCTAATCACATCTCACAGCATTTATTTAGAGAAAGTGCATTTTCATAAAAGCACTAACACAGTGACAGCATCAAACCATAGCACATTCAATACAAACAAGTCAAACAGCACTTAAGAAATTTCTGTTTCCACATTGCTTCTTAATGTTTAACTTGCCTCCCTCTCCCTCTTCTTTCAGGATAAATTATTTTTTCACACTTCCAGACATCCATACTTTTGATATGCCCACAACTGGGTGCCAGAATTGGATGCTCTGATGTCCTTTAAGATTTTCTTTTTTGAAATCCAGATCTGTTTCAAACCTAGGTTCTGTAGCTTCCTATTTATTTTCAGAAGAAGTTATTCAAACCACAGTTATTTCATGCAGTTCACAGAAGTCCAAAGAACATTTAGCAAAGTTAAAACGCAAATAAAGTTTAGATGAGAGTAATGGAAACAAAGATAACTCAAAAAGAATACAAATATCACCAAACTTAAAAAATACTTTGACCACAATTTAAACAAATTTAAAAAGCTTTAGAAATCTATTGATGGAAGACTATAGACAAAATTTAGTATTACAGTAAACTTTAATATCTCAATCTCTTAAAACACAAATAAGAGTGTGCAATTACACACAAACAGTTTTACAGAACAAAGTTATCAGAAAGATTACATCATGAAGTCACTATCTTCAGCAGACATCATCGAGCATCAAAAACTACCACTGGAATAATGCAGTTAAAGAAAAAATATTTTATAGTTGAAAAAAAGATGGGGGAGAGGAAAAGAGACTGTCTAAATCTAGTCACAACTACAAACATAAAGTATTTCAGAAATCATCTTTAATAAGATGCTGAATAGTATCAACAATCCACAGTACTTTACCCAGCAGACTATCGTAAATTAATAGATTGTGCATAGAAAATGGAAAAAAAAAAAGAGAAAGTGCCAGAAAATAAATCCGGGTGCCAAATCACACTGCAGAGATTGTGCTATAGTAATTTGCTCTACTGCATTGATTTTGGACCCTGAAGAATTGCTATGTAATTTTTTGAGTTTTCTATTCTGTTTCCCTTACATTCTGTTTCCCCTTGTCTCCATCCACAGCTTTCCAAAGGCACTCAAGTGTACTTGTAAAAGGATACATCTTTTGGTCCTTTTCTTGTACATTATTCTGTAGCCACATTCTCTGCATCTGATAGGATCTCTTGCCTTTATTTCATTTTCCGTATGACATTCTGATGTTACGGAGGAAGAAAAATGAAGTGGGGGCAAAGAAGAACAGCACTGTTAATGCACAGATAACTTTGAGAAGTTGTGACAGTCAAATTCTTATTTGTGGCAAACAAACATAGCAAGTGTAATGAATCTGTATCAAGAGCTCAATGATAAGATACAGTGAAAAAAAAAGAGAAAATAAAAAGTGAGCTTCACTTATATTTAAGATAAAAGCAAATCTTGCTAAAAATCACCCAAATATTACTGCATAGAACACATTCCACACTTGATACTAGATCATCTACTAATGAAAATTTTAGTTCATCCCTCCAAAGCCCAAAGTCTATTGTCTTAAAAGACATAATATTCTAGGGATACCTGAAAACCACCAATTTTTAAGTAATCGATTAATCTATAGGTAAGAGAGAATCTGACTACTGTACTTCAGGGAAAGCTGAGTGCCCTAACAGCACTGTCAATAAAACATATAGAGATCGAGGAGCTCCACACAGCAACACAAGCTCTAGAGAATTATCTCCACAACACTGCATATGTACTCCATATATGTGTTACCATCAATGCATAAAGCTTTAAACATCATCAGGATATACACTGCAACTATCTGTATCTATGTACCCTTCAGTATAATGACTAAGCACTATTCATTATTAGAACACTAAATCTCCAGTAACAAGTAATAAAAAAAAAAATCATTAAATGTCTTTTTTCTACCTCCACAAATATAAATCATTGGCTGCTGCTTTGGAGGCTGAACGTCCTTCTGTGAATCCATGTTCTAAAACAAAAAATACACAACATGCACATTAGCTTGGGTTTGGGGTTTTTGGGTCTTTTTTTTTTTTGTTTCCAAGGCATACACAATCATTTTAATATCTCAAGCTAAACATAACAGAACATGAAATCACTTTCTTTCCTCCTTTCCTCCTTCCTCCCAGTGTTAGGAATTTCCCTGCTGGAAATATAAAATTCAATAATTTCTTATATGCCACTCATGTAACAATGGTGCTAACAAAGATGGTAAGCCTTGTCATCTTTCCTCCCTCTCTGACACACTAGCTAACTCATTGTTCTAAGGTATTAGAAATACTGGGAACAGACTGTAGGTAGAAAAATAGCAGAAATTAAAAAGCAAAACAAAAGGGAAAAAACCCTGAACAATGAGGGGTCATGGAGATAAAATTCAACCCTTCAAATTCTACCAAATCAAGAGAAATAACTCAATGCTATTCTCCAAATACCTCTTAATGTCCTATAATGGCTTTGATTGTTCAGACATATTTGAAGACAAGTATTTCTTCATGACATCAGACTAAATAGTTGCATATACTCCACAAACACTCCTCCAAGTTTTAAGTAATCCTATCCTACATGTAAATGTACATGCAACCATGAATTTTGAGGTGGTTACTGTACATAGATAAACACTTTTTTCCCCACCCAATTCAAGTCTAGGTGAGAACATTAATTATTTCCTATTAGGTTTTCTGAGGCTGCTGTTTTCTGTATTGCTGTTCTGACATAGAGGAATTCCTAACCCTTGTGCCAGTAAATAGCCTTCTTGATGCTTCCTTTGCTTCCCATGAGAGAATGGCTCTCAGATGCTTTTGCTTAACATTACAGCAAAGATTATTTCCCTCATCTTCAGAATTTGTTTCATTATAAATTCAGCTGTGAAGATTCTGATACTGTAAACAGGACAGGGACATTTCATACTTTAGGAGTCTGATCAACACTTGACAAACCATCTTGTTAAAACTCCCACTATGTCACTCCATTTAAGAGAACTGGAGAAAATCCATTGATTTCTACAGCTTTCAAGTATGCTACACCATATTCATAGTGGCATCTTAACTCACATGTGCTATAGTTTTTTGTGTCAGCATACTGCAGTAAGATATGTGGAGTCACCAATTACCACTGGAAAACAACGGACTCTTCTAAAACACAGAGCTGAACTAAGGTGGATCACAGTTGTAGCTAAATACCTTGGGCTAGTGCTGCTTATGGAGCAAAATTATACTGCTGCAAAGGGCAGCAGTGAACTAAAGTTCTGTGTTTTGCAGGGAGGTGCCATAGCTTAGCTGGCCTTTACACACCCTACAGCCCTATGTGCCACCAAGCTGACAGAGCCAACAGGCCCAGTGATGCACCAACACGTGCTGGGGGTGCAGCCAGGATCCACTGCAGAGACCTGGGGGTACCATGCGCCAAGAGCACCTCACCAAATCACAGAATGGGAAAGGCTGGAAGGGACCGAAGTGGGTCATCTGGTCCAACCTCCCTGCTTAAGCAGGATCACTCTACAGCACACGGCACAGGAGAGCACACAGATGGTTCTTGAGTATCTCCAGTGAGGGGAATTCCTCAGCCTCTCCGAACAATCTGTTCCAGTATGCAACCCTGCACAGTAAAGAAGTTCTTCCTCCGATTCAGGCGACATTTTCAATGCCTCAGTTTCTGCCTGCTGCCTATTGTCCTAGTGCTTGGCACCACCAAGAGGAGCGTGGCTTCATCTTCTTGGCACCTCTCGCTTCAGATATTTTTGCATATTAATGAGGTCCTCTCTCCGAGCATCTCTTATGCACCCGTGAAAGAAGCCAACCCGCTCATTCACGTCCCGCAGAGCCCACGAAGAAGGGCTTACAGCCCTTCGCACAGCCCACGGGCCCCAGGCTCCCCATCCCGCCCCGATTCCGACCTCCTCCACTGTCCGCGGGTCTGGCGCGCAGAAGCGAAGGCCACGAGCCTGGTTCCGGCCTGTCCCTGCCCACCGCGGGCACGCCAGCAGCGCCCAGCAGCGAAGGGGACACCCGAAGGCCGGAGCAGGCACCCACCGGGTCCGCAGCTCCGCGGGCTCGCCGCCTCCCCGGCGCCCGCTGATGACGAGCGCCCGCGGGGGCGGGCCGTGCTCCGCCCCGCCGCCAGCGCCGGCCTCCGCGGCGGGGAGCGCCGCGCGGCTGAGAAAGGAGTCGGTATTCCGCTCCGGGTGCTAGCCACCCGCGGGAAAAAAGACAGGGGGAAAAAAAAGGGAAAAAAAAAACAAAAAGAAGAAGAAAGGCACACATTATTTTAAGACACAAGCTTCCATATGAATAGCAGTGTGAAGAAAGTAGGCAGCTGCATGGTTAGGTAACACTAGCCCCAAGGTCCCCGGTATTTTCATTATTTTATTTAGCTGTACTCAACATACTCGGGATAAAGAATAGCCCGCACCAGGTCTGGTCTTACGGCTGCGGAGTTTTAATCCACCGAGGTGTTCTGCCTCAAGGTCCTCTCTGTTTTCAGAAGCATTTTACCTAAAATTCGTGGATAAAGCCGGCATCTTGATATTTTGATGACGTGGTCGGTATCATATTTACCCACATGAAGCCAAACTTATATACTACAAACATATATGTTGCGCATTTTATGTGTAAGGTTCTATTATGAGAGAACTTCATATGTCGGTATTCCCCGATGTGCTGAACTAAAATAGTGCAAGCAAGATTTGAAACTACACCGGTTGCTCTTTGTCAGTGGTTCCACCTCGCTTGCGGTAGGAATTTTGAATCTTCGACTGACAGTTTGTAGAATTAGGAATCTTTGCTGTATTTCTCCCCACCTCCCACAATGTTTAACGAATACTATGTTTTATGAATATGCCAATTTAAACTACTAGATCATTCAAAGGTTCCCTAGTTTAAGGAAAGATCTCTTTCTGTTTCTGAATACTGAATAAAAATTGTTTCCTAAGCATCCAAATTAATAAGGATGAGCTTTTATCAGTTGTAATTCATTGATGTTCTCCTACCAGCAAATCACCTTCATACAGGACATGTAACTTACCTAAAACGAACTCAGGTAATAATAAATAGTTGCAGTTTCCCTCATTTTGTGTTTAAATTAAACGTAATGAAATCACAGTAATGGCTTTAGACTTGCTTCTTCACACTGCTCTTAAAGAATAAAGCTCTGGAGTGCCAGAATAAAGCACAGGCAAGAAAAATGGTTTGTAAAAGGCAGAGGTACTGTTATAGGTTACTACTTGCATCCTCTCCTCTGCTACGGAGCCGTGGGTATAGGTGGGTACCAAGAGGTTTTAAACAGAGGAGAGAAACAGCCTGGGCTCTTTATTGACAAAGGCACGGTAAGAAATTTCCAACTCCTAAAAAAAGCACCCCCCCACACACACACCCGGTTATTGTTTCTCTAGGCTTACTGGTATTTTAAAAACTCATTTGTCAAACGGACAAATTTAAAAGGACTTACTAAAAATATCTCCATGAAAGATTCGGTTAATCCCGTGAAAATAATGTTTCCATTATTAATAAAGAAATAATGTAAATATTTTTATTATTGGTATCCCTTAAACATTCCCTTGGAAAAATGGGATGCTTTACCAGATCTTACAGCTTCACTTCAGCAGTTTCCGATAAAATCCGCCCCTTACGGGAGGAGCGCTTTGCTAAGTCCCATTCCCATGTGCTGGTAAATTCCAGCCCTAAAGATGCTCCGTTGGATTTAGAGTAGCAGAGAGCGTGGAGACTGTCTGAGAGATTCCTACTGTACTGTAAAGTGAAATAGTTATTGGGGAATTGGCAGGCAAATGAGAAGAAAGATTTGTGTGTCGAGATGGGGAAAGCACAGGGATACAGGTACTTTGGACAGGGGAAGGAAATGCAGCCGGAACCGAGCGCAGTGCGACTATTTCAGAACGTCTCACCTGGTTTCACTTGTTAGAAGTTGCGTTCTCAGGTCTTGGGGGGGGTTTTTTGTGTTGTTTTTTGGGTTTTTTTTTCTTGGTTGGTTTTTGTTGCGGTGGTTTTTTGGGATGGGAACGTTTTTTTTTTTTAACACACTTTGTAATGTGACACTTCTGTGTATTGCATAAAATGTCGCAATTACGACTTGCTAAATTTCTTGGATATTTTTGATCCAGCTCGCATAAATCCATGCAGATTTGAGTGACGGAGACAGAGCTTGCAGTGGCTGTGTCTCACTAGTAAGCTTCCAATTTTACTGAGAAGGTATTTTAGAAATAAATACAAATATTTGAAAAACAATTTTATTCAGTTCCTGTGAAGCAGACGGTATTACAGAAAGCACTTTCAGAAATCTTCGACTACCTTGAAAGAAGTTTCTAATGTTTTCTCCTTCTAAAAAGGAAGGGGGAGATAGTCCAAGAGCCTTTCTCTTTTAAGCCATAACTGTTACCTTGTAGTCAAATAAACAGATATTCTTTCCCTCGAAGTCAGTTTCCGCCGGCTCTGGGTCGGGAACTTTTAAGCCCTTGTTTCCTCGGCCCCCTCTCAGGCTGCCTCACACCAGGAAGAGCGGAGTTGCCAAAGGGGAAGGCTGACAAATATCAGAACCCACGAACAAGAGTTACGTTACTTAAGCCGGGAGTTTGCATATTAAAATATAGGTGTAGCTTTAAGAGCCAGTTTCAGGTCTCGCATTCAGGTCTGCCATTCCCCATCCCGCCGGTGTGAAGAATCACGCTATCCTTACCGAGCCCAGGACAAACATCCATCCACGTAGTCTAGTTTTGGCGGTTTTCTCGTTTTAGTTTATTTTAGTATGCAGAAAAACTAAAACCACAGCAAAATCCAGGAGCCAGTTTCTGAATTACTACAAGTTTTTTAACAAATTAAACAGGAGTAACCCTTAGGCCATTCACGACAGGACAGGGCGCGGAATAAGTACTCTGCACTGTAGCCAGGGAGAATGGTCCTTCCCGGGATCTCTGGCAAAAAGTACCTGGGGAGACTCTATTGGGTCCATGAGGACCTGTGCGGTGCTGGAGTCGGGGATCCTTCACCGACTGCTTTGAAGGTGATGTACTTGACAAACGCTCTGTGACTGTTTTAGTCCTGGGCTATCCGGTAAAAAGGTAATTAAGCTAATTAACTCAAATTAACTAGTACTCTTATAACCCGAGATTAAAGGCTGCGGCGCAGATAAGGGTTATTAGCGGGGAATGCCCCAGGCACCCCCGAGCCACCCCTCAGCGCCCCCGCCGCCGTTGCCCTCCGCCCTCGGGAGCGCAGCGGGCTCCGGCAGAGGCGGGAAAACCCCACCCTCACCGGGCGCCTCCGGGGAAGCACAGCAGGGGCAGGAGCGACTCAGGGGCGCTTCAAGCGTGGGCTGGGCGCGGCGGGGGCCTCGGGGCCCCGGTATCAGGAGTGAGGAGCGGGGAAAGCCTCGCTGGTGCTCCCTCCCGTCCCCGAGGGGCGGTCTCCTCAGGCTGCCGGCCGGGCCGGGCGCGGCGGGGGCGGGGAGGCAGCGGTTGGTGAGGCGGGTAGTTCAAAGCCGAGCGAGGGAAAGCGGCGGCGGCCGCACGCGGGGGGCCGGTGCGGGTGGGGAGAGCGAAGCGGCTCCTCGCCAAGGGCAACGGGCCCGGCCCGGGCGGCGAGAGCTCCTGAAGCTCCTCCAGCCCGCCTTCACTCCTGCTCCTCGCCCGCAGCCCTGCTCGGGGTGCCCCGCCGCCACCTCAGCTGCGCCCGGTGGCAGGGCGGCCTCCAGGCTCTGCTCCTGTGCCCACCGGTTTGCCGGACGAGAGGGCGAAGCGGTTGCTTTGCTCGTGTCCGGCATCCCAGGTGACTGAGACCCTCGGGTGCTGGTCCTCAGCTACATCTCATTTATCGCCGTTGCTGGGTAATTAGGCATTGCAGTTAACACATATTTGTGGAGTGAAAACTGTCTCAGCTGGGTAATGTTTCTCTTGGACCTCTCTCTTTTCTCTCCACATCCTTTCTCACTTCAGGTTATCACTAGGGGTAAGCAATACTTTGAATACACCGCCTTTGCATTGGAAGATCTTGATTTGCTTCACAAATTAGGGTAAGTGGTCCATATCATGCAGACAGGACTTGGCTGTGTCATCTTCAGTATTATTACCTGGAAGGTATCAATGACTTTGGGGTCAAAGAGCAGTCTTTTTTACAGATACCATATCTGTTTAAATAACAGAGAAAATACTTCTGTATCACCTAAACTTTGTCTTTATCTCTTTTGTAAGCAGTGGTGAACAGTGATTTTAAAAAAGGCAAAAAATGTCTTGTTCCATGCATAAGTGTTCTGTGTGTTACTGAGGAACACAAATTACTAGGAACAGGTGTTTCCATCCTAGAATTTGTCTAAGTTGGAGGCACCACTTACATTGGTTCTAGTAACCAACATTCTTCCTTCTCTAGTGTGCTTGGTAAGACTAAACTTGTTAGAAATTGTTCCCTCTCTAAATTTGTGAATCCTGTCCTAAATTTAGTTTGGGTCTCTGAATATGAATTATTGTGTCCAGTAAACTCACAGAAAGTTTGCAGTTGCTTTGTAAATTTATTTGAGAAGTGCAAAATTAATAATAGATATGAGAAGTGCACAGAGCACATAAATCTATCCTTAGTAGATGTGGATTTTGTTACTTCCTCTGTAACTGACTAGTGGTGTGACCAGCCTTTTCTTCCCTGCACATCTGTTTGATGGCATCTAAGCCAAGGTTAAAATTTTTAGGAACTAGTTAAAGATGCCCAAATGAAAAAGGTGTGGTGTTACGGCTCAAATTTAGTAGATTAAGTTCTCATGATAAAAAAGTGCTTATAAAAGATAGTGTTATAAGAGATTTCGTTAGGCATCTCTTATGAACAGAAATAGAATCTTGTTTTGTTATGAGAAATACTCAGCACCTCTGAAAGGCTTTTGCTTTTGTATTTGTAAAATGAGACCTTGTGTTAAATTAAAGCTTAATTTGCACAAGTACCAAAAGGTACTACATTTTGGAAAAAAATCGTATACAAGCTTAAGTTGTATACTGGGGTTTGTATACAGAATGGTTCAGGTTGTGAGCGATGTTAAAGATCATCCAGTTCTGAGCCCCTTCCATGGGCAGGGACACCTTCTACTAAATC